GTTTAGCTCTTAATTCTCTCGAAATAATATTCATTGCGTCTGTCGTGTCACTGGCTCGCAAAAGGATTGCTGAATCGGCGAAGCTTTGAATAATATCAATAACTCACAAAACTTTTTCTCCTAATCATTTCCAACATTTCGTTGGATTCAGTGGATCAGTGAATAAAGGGCATAGGCTCAGCTTATGGACGTACTCACTGTGAAAGAATAGTTAGTTATCCCGAATGTTATGCCGTAACATTTTTCGTCAAAATCTGGTGTGCGGACCGGTAACTCTACCTCACTGTCAGTTTGCCTTCAGTTATCAGGGTAGGCAACCCGAGCTCCCACGTGGCCGAATAGTGGTATCACTCTTATGTCACGAGATTGCTCGAGGAAGGAAGCAGGGAAATTCATCGAACGTCCAGCCCAGTGTGGAGCAATGACTTAACCTATAGTATTTTTTATTTTTCGCGAAATATTGTGCTGATTATCACTTTAAAATCGCTCTGTGGGAAAAATTTTTGTTCCGAAACTACTGTATTTGTGTATCGCGATATTTTAATGATGAAGAAACAATTATTAAGTAGATAAATAAATGCAAATAATAAATAAAAGTATAAAATTTAAACGCAAATACTTAAAATTGATTGACTCTATTCTTGTCTATTTATTCTTATTTTCTACCTCTACTATCATCTGGGCCTGGGTATCAATCGCCACCCCACTGGGACCAGTTCGACCCTGTCTAAAATCGACAGAACGCTTTTTGAGTCGCGTTCATTTTGTTTCAGTCTTAATGGGAAGTTTGAAGTAGGCTTCCAATTGCAATATTCGATTCTCATTGGTTCTCTTTTCCCCATGGGAAAATTTCGCGGCAAGACTGGAAAAAAACCAACAACGCGACCGATTGCTTCGTCGATTTTGGTTATGGTCTGTACCGGTAGAGTATACACGTAGAAAAAAACCTCGTGCGTGGGACCCGAAGTTAAGGTCATATGGATCTCTGAAGTTTTCAGATTGAGCATCTGAGCCTTTAAGGTCTAGGTGTCGAGGTTCGGATCCCACACCTGAAACTTCAGTTCTCTTACATCTGAAGTACTTCAGATGTGAGAACCGAAGTTTTTCGGATGTGAAAACCGAAGTACTTCAGATGTAAGAACTGAAGTTTCAAATGTGTGATCCGAACCTCGACAGCTAGACCTTAGTGTTCAGATGCTCAATCTGAAAACTTCAGAGATCCATATGACCTAAACTTCGGGTCCCACGCACGAGGTTTTTTTCTCCGTGTAGAGTATAGAGTAAACCTTCGTTCGACTTACCTTGCATCTCACTCCAGTTTACGCGACCGAAATCGTTTTCCAAGTGGATATCTGCCATGCACCTGGTTCACTCGCCGTCTTAAAATAATCGAAAGAGTGTCCAATTTCGGGGGGTGGCTCGCAAGATACAGATACCTATCCGTTGCCGGGCGATGAAGTTGTGCAAGCTACGCGAGGTCGGAGCACGCCGGGCTCCTGCGAGTAAACCCCTGGAAATAAGAGTGAGGTAAGCGAGTTTCGTAGTTGGCAGAGCAGTCTATCATGTACTCGATCTCCCGGAGCCGTAATAGTTTCGATAGCGGCGCACGTAGTGCACGTAGCCGCTTAAGGTGATTCCAAGTGATCTAGGGAAGGCAACCGCCACCACGTAGCGCTGCTACGTGAGTGAGTCTTCAGGAAGGAATTGTCGTCGCCACTTTGATTTTTATGAAGGAAATCGATCCATAACGTGTAGCCGCATAAATTCTGAGCACAATGATACCAAATTTGTCAAGAATTATTGCAAAAATATACCCGAAAGTACGGGAACGGATTTTACATAGGGTATCGTAATGAGTAAGAGAGAGATAGCGATATGCCGATGTCAGCTGTATGCTGCATGGTTGCCGTTGCGGTTGCCCAATTCCTACTTTTGGGTTGCCCCGTGGATCCCCTGATTGTTTTGATTTCGTTTTCTGAGTTCTCACTCTGCGAATAATTAGACTGCTGACTATCGTATTAGAAATGCAATAGTGGAAATATTCATCCGTGTAAGATGTGTCGTAAAATGTGTCAACTATCGTTTTCGCGACAAGTTTGAACCAGATTTGTGCTAATACCATAAATTATGTAAATTCATTATTTGTTTCATGTTTGTTTCCATACAAGTTTAGAGGTTAGCAATGAACAGTTCCTTTGCCCCTTGATGCAGATACATCAATATTTTTTACATCGGATGTTTGACACTACAAAATTGTGATGTCAGGTAATACAGCCTCCCACTACCTTGTTGTTTCGAATTCAGGTGTATCGATGATACTTTGCCAATGGTTTCGTTACAGCACTGAAAACCTAACAAAGAAAGTTACGCAGTCTTTGATTCAACCCTCTTTCTCCTCCCCAATTCTATCTTTCGTAGATGCCTTTACAAGCCTCTGAATGTTTCATAGAGTGCCTGCTTCAAACTTCCATCCCGACTGTGATCTTCCTCATAATGGTCGTAGAACGTCCAAATAGTTGGCCAACTTATTGAGTGCGGAAGAAATATTCCATCCATTAGACCTTGAAAGTAATTGTAAGAACGAGGATGGAAAATCCTCCTTCCCATGTTGAATGCCTGACAACTAACTTACTCAAGTAGCCTGATTGTTGAAACTTTAACTGGCTAAGTCAGCAAGATAAGACAAGATATTGCCCCATCTGCGCTGCGTAATATATCGATTCCCGATTCTTGTTGTGCCGACATAAATGTAAATAATCAGGCTGCTGATCTACCATTCTAACTGAAAGACCTTATAATTGCAGAGTGAAATGACAGGAGTGGATTTTATGTGTATGTGTGATGACACTTAGTGATCACAGGTGTCGCGAAAGGAAAAGTGGAGACAGCTCTGTGACAGAATTCATGTTTCTTGCCATAAGAGATAGGAGTGTAGTGTTGGGATGATCCACTGATCTAGCAATGTGAAATTAGTATTAGGTATGATAAAGCTCAGAAGAACACATTGGTCTGTCCTGTTCTGTCCTCAACATCATGTGATCAAGAGTGTTTTGGGGTCTTTCCAAAGGTCAGTTCGTGTCCTCTCAATGAGAAGAACTTGATTTTGGAAAGGCCTGCTGGCATTACTTTCACTCATCAAAACCATAACTTTTAAAAAGCATTTAATGCTAAGCAGCTACTGGAGGTAAGAAATCACAAGACATCAAAATTCAATCAGAATTGAAAATACCGAAGTAAGTATTTAATTTTACTTTTTTCAGTATTGACTTAACTTAAAATAATTCATGTCGCTAAGTGTACTTACTCCTCACTATCAATCGTAAATTCACTTCCACTAAATTTTGTCTCAATAACTATTTGAATCACGCAGGTCACTAGTTCAAGACAAGTTCTGTTATTGGTCCAATCTCAAATTAAATTTGATCGATCTCTCCCTGCCGGTTCCGTTTAAAGATTTCAAAATACCTTCGTTTCGTCAACTTAGTAATGGGCACTTTTCCCTACAGAACTGTTACGTTTAGGTTACCAAATTTCTGTTGAATGAGAGGAACAGTTGCACAAGCATAGTAACAACAGAAGCGCTATAAAGTTTTGAATTTCTTTCCTTCAGATGTTGGCTTGCATAAATTCTATTTTTACAAAATCATAGGTCAATGAATCAATTCAAGAGACCTGAATAAATCCTGTCTGTGAAAATTTGAATTAAAATTATACCTTAGAAACTGCTTCAGATTAGATTCCTTTTAAATCTCATAAAATTTTTTATCCTCTTTTATGCTTCAAACTTTCTGTTCTTGAATTTCTTAAATTTTCTTTTGGAAGTTAAGTATAAGGGTTCTCAGACGTTCAATTAAAGCAACATACATACTTTTAACATTTCAGTTGGCGGATTCTGAAGATAAGAAGCTTGAGATGAGGTCTGCCGTGCTAAGGAAAAATGCTGTATGGACCTTCAGGCGTTGCCAAATTTCCTTTGATAAAATACAAATTTCCTGGTAAACTTATGAATATCTTCCTTCCAATTTTTCAGATAATTTTGTTCACAATTTAACCTAAAGCCCCTGAAAATTTCAAGGGAGAATATTCATATCTTTCCTCCAAAATAAACATTTGGTAGGAGGAAATCTGGTAACTCTCGAATGTTCATAGGACGTTTTTCCTTGGCACGGCAGAGATGTACTTCACATTCTAGAAGCAAAAGGGAGCATTTCCCTCACTTCCTTCTCTCACAGGGAAGATTGTGGATCAAAGCAAGAAATTTCCTATACCTATAAGTTCCAGGCTACTTGGTTTAACAATACAAGGAAACCCTCGAAGAAAAACATACCTACAATGCATATTAACGTTCCAACATATTCCAGACTTCCCCCTCCTTGCTCTGGACTTGACAGGAAAATTTTATGCATACATTTATATTTTTGAAATTGATAAAAAAAAAACCTTGAGAAAGTAATGACGTTTTAATTTCAAAATTAGTACTTTTAACTATTTTTAATCATTTACATTTTTTATTTTTAAATTCATATGATCCCTGCAAACAGAAGAAATTTCATTCCATCTAAGATTCATATTTTTCTTGCTTTTAATTTTTCTCATGAGGGAAAACGTTTGTCAAATCGTTTACAATTATTATGGAGAAAAGCTCAAGTTAAACTAGATGATCGCAGCAAACAGGTTACTGTAAGAATGGAACTCAGAAAATATATAACTTTTTTAAGTTGCGCAAAACTGGATGGTTTTATCCTGTTTATTCTCAGAGGTCCAGTGGCGAGGCGTGAATGATCGGTTACCGATATCTCCAGATTTGAAGCTATGGTAATGAATCGCTTATTAAAGTATTCGTTGCTAACACCCTGTTTATTGACTCATTTCCATAGGTTTAAAGGGTCGATCAATGGATATATCGCAAAGCACGCCCTGCCACTGCAGAGGTCCATAGTTGTTTTCAATAAAGCTTACCAAAATCTTTAAAAGTGTGAATGAATGAAAACCAGCAAAACTTATCTAAGAAAGAAAATAAAAAATTTATTAAGATAATGAGAGAAAATTTACACACATTAAGAGAGACGCTGCCAGACCATTCTAACTATGACTTATTTATTCTAACTTCAAATACTATGATACTCTGATTTCTAACCCTTTAGGATACCTACATGTAACGTTTGAGTTTTAACGATTAAATTTAAAGAGTAATTTCTAGAACTAAAGAAAGTAAGATAGGTAAGACTAAGGGGAAAAACGATGCTCCTTGTGGCGTCTGAAGAAAATTTGAAGCCAGTCAGTCCCTACTGAGATGTGGAAAATTTCACCGATAGCGACAAGATAGACCCTGCATTTACTCTAAGTCCAGTTCCAGTTCTGGAATATGGGAGCACAGGATTGTCTGATTCATATGACTGGGGTGGTCTCTCTGCAAAAGAACATAAGGCATTTCATCAAAATTAAAAACTAAACAGTTTAGAAAATGATTATTGTTAAGTAGCATTTGACGAGCACAAAGACATGGAAGGTAGCCAACAAGACAATCCGATTTGATTGCCACATCCGGAAGTTACAGGGGAGGAGGGGAATGAAAATAACAGGAACCTCCCAGGAGAAGGGAGGGGATTCCCAACAATAATTCACTGATTCTTCGCCTCTCATGAGAATTCTTGGTAGAAAAGGACAATAGAGAACAGAGTGCAATGGCTAAGGCCGAAAAATATCCTTCCATTGAACCGTTTCAAAAGCCTTCTATTATATTTTTTGTTCTTCTGAAAAAGAAACTGACGAAAATATATGATTCAAATTGTTATGAAAATATTTACGATTGTGTTAGAAATTATACAGAATATTTTAAGGAAAACTGTTGGTTCATGTATTCCTTAAAAAATTAATAAAGCATGAGCGGAGGTATAAGCACATTGCATTTGGAGGTGCACAAACAATTTCTACCGTACAGAACTCTTCTTGAACTTATTTTGAATAGACCCGTGTACTTAGCTAAATTTCTCAATACAGTGTGTTACGACCCTCTAGATCTGAGCTACTCATATAGTCTCTGTGACTAATGAACGTGGATTCACTGATTAGCTAATTTTTTCTTTCCTTACCTCCTTGGAGAGAGTTCACCAATTTCAGAGTTGGCATGAGGCGAATTATGAATTTTCTTTCTGAGGGAGGTAGGGGGTCGCAGTGCACTTGCATCAAGGAGGGTCAGTGAGCAAGGGAAGGCACCCACCTGGGGTAGTGGGGAACACCTACAGCTTCAAGGAGAGATCTTCTACATTCTTTGATTTCACATAAAAAATGTTGATAAAATTTTGCAGAATACAAAAATATTGCGCAGATATTTTGCAAAATCCCTTACCTTTTCTGGAGAGCACCCTCTATCTCCAAAGGTCCAAAGGTCACTGGTGCCCACTCTGGTTGGATCAGATCACAAGAATTGGTGTTCATTGAGTTAAACGTCCGGTTCTGGCAATATCCTTACAGAGAATCCCAGTAGAGAGTGACAGGATTTACTAAAATTAATGCTGCATCAGTATGATCCTTTGACTTGACACTTGGACACCTCCTGGAAAAGAAACATGCATTCCTGATGAAATGAATGGCAAAGGATGGTTTTTCAGAGCAGAACATTGTATAGAAAATTTCTGTAAAATAAGCCAAGTACCTAAGTAGGCACTCTTAATAATCTACTCGATCGTCCCTCCTTCAACTGCAAAGCTCATATTATCCAGAAATTGAAGGTACCTCTTACCTGTTCAAGCATTCATTTCCTTTCTAAAATTACTTACCGTTAAAGTAATTTCTATTATCGTGTCCATCCTCTCATTCAATGAACCAAATCAAAGTTCGGTCAGAGCATACTTCAATTGGACCGCTTTAAACAGAAAGGAACCAAGCCACATCAGCTATTGCCAAAGTTAACCGGGCCATTTAGTTTTTTACGAGAGGACGTTTGTGTGGATTCCTTTGAAATTTTTAAGGAATTAGCTTCGTACTCTGGAGAAAATCCACTAAAATTTGCAAAAAAATCCGCACAACCGTTTTCATGTAAAAATTTAAATTGCCCGATTAAATTTGGGAATAGCTGATATGGCTTGGTTCCTTTCTGTTTAACGCAGTCCAATTACAATTGACTTAATATTCCAGAGACACTGAAAGTTAGATAAGCAACAGGAAAAATTCACTGAACACACATATATTTTTTAAAAATGCATAAAACTTCCCCTTTGAATTTTTGGGTCAGCCACCGTCCCCTTACAACATAGTCAGTGTCGCGCTATTGCTTCGCTGGAATCCTTGTCAAAAGATTTCAGCCTTTTGAGGTGTGGGGTCGGAAATCTAGCTGTCTTTGCTCATTGGTTTTAATTCATGATTCAAGATACAGGGTCTTTGGTTCGTCTCTGAGAGTGCATAAACATACTCGGAACATATGCGCTTTCATTTACCAACTAATGAGAATTGTTGGCGCAAATATAGTGTTCACCCCAGTCTCCGTATATTTTGCTTGTTCCTCTAAAGTATTTGCGCCTACTGGAATAATAGGGGTTGTGTTTGAAGAAGTAAATAGAGTGTAAGAACTTACCTAAGTTACAGTGCGGTGAGCAGGTCCAGTGCACTCGATTCCGTCCCAAAATCTTGTTAAACACAAGTTCCACTCGCGATTTTTCCACAATGATGGCATTAGAATAACAAGCAAGAAAAAAACGGGAAATTCTATTCCTTATACGTAAAGGCGGTAGAGTCTTTATCAGATAAACAATTTGAACATTGTATATTGTGCAGGTAAACAGAAGACATAACCTAAAGTTAGGTAAACAAAACAACAACAATCATGGCGGTCACTTTTCTCACGGCCGCTTTTCCTCACCTCAAAATCTGTTACCGTACTTTCACCTCGTAAACTGAACCAATCTCGATGAAAAATACATCAAAAAATAATACAAAAAATTAGCTATAAGTTATGGATCCGATTTTGGAAATCTTCGCAGGGAATTTGAAGTAATAGACGATTTACTGGTCGCTTCAGAAAAACGACTAGTGGTGCTCTCTGCGCGGATACGAGCTGTCCCTAGATCACTTGGAATCACCTTAAATCCAAGTTTAGACGCACCGTGCTCATGACGTACCCGCGTACCGCTCCGTAAGCCCGATCCTCCAGCGCCGAAGCGGGAGCAAGTCGCTCACATCACATGTCAGAGAGCAGCCCGATGCCGTTGCCCTATCCGCCACCGCCTCTCCCGCACCGTCACATCGAGATCATATGCTTCGTGTTCCCGGTATCCAAGTTTATTATCAATTCTTTGTAACTTTTCACGGCGTGTACGGCTGCAATGAAGAAAATCTGAAGTTTTCAAAATCGTCAAATTAATTGTTAATTATTTGAGCACGGTAAACAAGTGCCAAAGGTTATCCCCTAATATTGTGGTACTACCTCAATTTGTTGTATAATATGAACATTTCCAATCAATTATTGTAGTACCGCAACACAAGTTGCACGGAGAAAAGAACTTCGTGCGTGGGACCCGAAGTTGAGGTCATATGGATCTCTAAAGTTTTCGGATCACGTATCTAAAAACTTGAGGTCGAGCTGTCGAAGTTCGGGTCAGACATCTGAAGTAGTTCGATTTATACCGATGGGTTCGGGTCACTCATCTGAAGTACATACTCCGATACATACCGAAGTGCCTCGATGTCTGACCCGACTTTCGGCAGCTTGACCCCAAGTTTTCGGACGTGTGATCGGAAAACTTCAGAGATCCATATGACCTCAACTTCGGGTCCCATGCACGAATTTTTTTTCTCCGTGTGGGGTCGTTCCGCAACATTTCGGTTTGTGACTTAATTTATTGGGGTACTAATACTACCACAATTAATTGGAAGTGTCCACGTTAGGACGTAACCCATTCCTCTTTTTTCCGTGGGTGTTTTAGTATTTTAATACCGTATGAGTTTCCCAGTGTCGTTTTACGGATTTCCGGAGGAAGATTGTATGCTCAAAATTTCAGGTTCGCCTACCAAATAGTTTGGCATACTTCGATTTCCTGTATGCTCATTAACCATATGTATACTCGCTGTAAGTCCACGATACCCACAATGTAGTATCAGTTAACTTGTTTTCGACTTCACCGGCCAACTTTTTCTCCAGGTCTCCTCTCAGGTTTTCAACCAGATCCGTCAACATCCGGGTTTCCCGGTGACGGATCCACTCGAAACTCATCCTTCCGGACGAGCGAAGACGACAAATTTGGCAGGTGTCCTGCGACGGCAACGGAGCCTGAATCCTCCGTTGCCTGACCTATTACAAGGAGACGCCTTATTACCTGGGAGCCGAGCCACCATCTCCACCTCGCCGCCCCGCGACTTTCCCGCGATAGACTCGACAAGTGCTCATTGGCCGCGGATTCTGATTGCATAACCGTAATCAGCTGAGCCGAGTCGGGGCCCCGGATCGTTACCCTGATTCCCGATTCCGAATGCTCGAGCTCGCTGCTCGCTGCTCGCTGCGCGTTGCGGTAAAATCACGGGTGTCGGCCGCTTTATCGGCCCTAATGGCAAGCAGAGTCCTGATCCCGGGCGAGCACTCCCGGCCTGAGCAAAAAAGCCGTATCAACATTCCAATGTTGCCAAATTGCCTCTCGGGGAATATTTATCAGGGTGTCTACAAGTCCGGATTTTCCGGAAAGTCCTGGAATAGTACTGATTTTTTAAGGGCGGTCCGGAAGTACTGAAAAAGTGCGGAAATTCCGCAAAAAGGTCCGGAATTTGTTTAAATTTTTTGTCATTTTTATCGCAATTTCAAGTTTTCGAAATTTTTCTAATTTCGTCAAATGGAGGTACTGAAAAAGTACGTAATTTTTCTGTCGGAGGAGGTACTGAATTTCTCGAGAATGTACTGAAAAAGTACTGATTTTTGACCAGCCTGTTTTAGTAGACACCCTGAATTTATTTTTGAAGAACTTTATGAAAATTTTTCCTTGAAATTTTCAGGCACTTTAGATTAAACGGAGAATTTACATGGAAATGTTTTATTGCTCCATCTGAAAGTGCTTAAAGAGCTGATTTCACTGTATATTTATAATTTTTATCTGATAAGAGAAATAGTATAAGAATAGCTTGAAAAGTGAGAAAATGCACCGCCTAGTGGCGTTATCCGGTGGCATTTCCCATTTAAACACACGTATTTTAGCAGATTAGGTCATTTTGTCATATTTCCTCCAATAACTGTACAATTCAGAAACCAAGGATATCCTCATGCTCAGTTCTCTCATTATTTTCCACTTAAACACGAAATCCATCAAATTTCAGACACCTGCAAAGAGCGAAACCCTCGAAAAAATTCGCAGAAAAATATTTACAAATTTTTCCGAAAATTCGTGATTTATCGATGGAGATTTGGCAACGCCCAAAGGCTCATATAGCGTTTTTCCTTAGCACGGCGGAACGCTCCATCACTCCGCTCTCGCGGGCCCCACTGGGCCCCGCTCGTCAAAGTTCACCGAGGGCCTAGGCCACGCACACTGCACAGCCGGGGAACAGGCTGAACCCGGGTTTTTGGGTCAGGAAACTTGATGGAACCCGCGTCGGTTTAGCGGCCGCTAAAACCATCAGGAAAGTGGAATTACTGACGTTGATATCTGGATTACGAGGAAGCACTCAGGGCTCTGATGCTTCAATCCAGCCGATGGTGGGAATTATCCGCGATGGTGGCTATCTTTGATTTGGCTCTTTTGAAGGTATGTTCAAAGAATAAGAATGAAAGAAGGCATCACTCACAAATGTCACCCCTGTAGTTCCTGTAAATGAAATGTCAATTACTTACGTTTTAAGACCCAAGTTAGGCATTTCCAATTAATTTTGGTAGTGCCTCTAAAAAATCAAGTTACGAACCCAAATTTTACGGTACTACCTCAACTTAAGTTGCAGTACGACCGCATTCAATCGGAAATGCCCATCCAACAAATTGGAGTAGCACCACAAGTTTAGGAGATAACCCCTGACACTTTTTTTTCCGCGGGCTTTAATTGACATCCCGTCAGTTCTTGACTCATTGTCAGAGCCGTAGCTTCGACTGCTCCGGGTGCTACACCCGGAACTTTCGGTCTCCTCTCAGCCCGGAACACGGGCGGTGTGTCCATTTAGCTCGTAAGTACTGCTTCTACAGCCGGAGTTTTTCTTTCAGTGTGACGATGGCAAAAACCGAAATGGCCGTACCCAATAACATTGCGGAGATTATTCATGCGGGGTGTCCAATCAGGGTGGTCCGGAAATAGTACTGTTTTTTTTTTTGAAGGCGGTCCAGCAGTACTGAAAAAGTGCGGGAATTTCGCATATAGGTCCGGATTTTTTCCATTTTTTATCATTTTTGTCGCAATTTAAGCGAGAAATTCAAATTGTTGAAGTTTTTCGGATTTCGTAAAATTCGTAATTCGTAAATTTCGTAAAATGGAGGTACTGAAAAAGCACTGAGTTTTCCCGCCGAGGCGGTACTGAATTTCTTGGGAATGTACTGAGAAAGAACCGTAAAAGTACTGATTTTTAGCCAGCCTCTTTTAAGGCCCAGATACACCTGCGAGGTACATGCGCATGCTGAAAGTGAAACACCAATAGGCAAGGAGGATTTCGATAGCTCGACGTCGAGTTATCAAAATCCTAGCTTCCTATTGGTGTTTCACTTTCAACAAGCGCTTCCAACTCGCAGGTGTATCTGCTGCTTCAGTAGACAGACACCCTGCCAATAATTATCGTCCCTGATCGTCTACTCTTCTTCCTGACCTGGTTAGTAGATGCAACTTTCCAACTAGTCGCCACCTTAACCTCCTGGGTTTTCTCCACGTCCGAACGACCAAAAATTCAAATTTTCAGGGCATCCATTAGTACCCAGAGGTGGAACCGGCCCGTGCGGGGCTGGTTGTTCTTGGCGATGTTGGTCGCACACGCAGTCACGACTCGACTCGTCCGGCGTGCACCGAGCACCGACTTCTTTCATCTTGTCAAAAGCAGCATCGGCGCCCCCCTCTCCCACCCGTCAAATCATGAATGCGAATCAAAGAGGAGGAACGGAAATGAAACTTGTGACGTAATTGTACCGAAAGTGACGGACGCGCAGCGCATGCGCTCTGCCCTTATCCGGGCCTAATTAATTGAGGCTCCTAATATGAGCGGCACGCTTCCTTCGCACTTTTCCTTGTCTTTAATTCGGCTCCGTTGAATTTATAACATATCTCGTTCGGCCGTGTCTTCGCCACGCGCTACTCTTTTTTTTATTTGTTTTGATTCGTTCAGTTGGAGGAAGGAGAAATGCATATTTGTCGCTCTTCTGACGTAAGCGCGTATTTCTGTTTCAACTTAAGCCCTGGAATGTATAGTAATATGCGGGGAACAGGGCTCATACGGACATCGAGATACGCCCTTACGTCAGAGGAGTGATGATGTTAAGGCTGTGGTAGACTGAGCTGTATAAGGGAAGAACGTCGTATGGGCCAATATACGTTGCCAAATTTGCTCTGTCAACAAACGAACATTCAGGGAAATCTGTGAATATTTAACCTCCAATTTTTCAGAGGATTTTAATCACGATCAGATCTAAATTATCTGAAAAATTTAAGAAAAAATGTTCATAACTCTCTTTAAAAACAAAAATTTTAGTGGAGGATATTTGGTAACTCTCGAATGGTCAAACGGTGTTTTTTCTAAGCACGGCAGTGGAGGCGAAGTGTGAATCATCGGACACCAATATTTCCCCACTTGAAGCAATGGCAAAGAATCAATCGTTAATTTATACCTTGATAATCGATTGTTTTTCATACATGTAAATTTGAATCGCCAAAGAATCGATTCATCGCAAAGATTGACAAGCCACGCTTCTGCCATGCCGGCTGCGGTCGGCCGTGAATTTGGTCGATGAAGCCTCCAAATTCAAATCAAAATCGCGTGAATAATATTCCAAACTTGAACCGTCCGCAAATTA